CCGTCTAGCGGCGCCGGAAAGGGGCATATGAAAACGAGATTCAGGTCGAATTCCCTTCTAATGGAGATGAGTCTTAAAGAAATGTATTCAAATGGAAGATGTGAAAGGATGCGTGTTTATGACTGTCCTTAGGGACGCGTGCGTTCATCCCGCCGAAGTAAGTACGTCTAAGCAAGAAAGTGAACATAAAATGACTAAGTTATCGCTCTCGGAAGACATATGCATAAAGTCGTAAAGACCGGATGGCGCTTCTTATATAGAAATAATCAAGCAGATATCGACGCCCGTTTGTTTTTATGCCCCCGTATTACATTGGTGATAAAGTGTAAACAGTAAAATGAATTGGAGACCCATATAGATCAGCTGCGCCCAAACAATTTTTATTAAACTCTTTTCATACGACATTGGAATGGCATTCTTAATAATCCACAAAGTAAACGGATAGTGGATTCAACCAGTGAAAGAATTTTAAATAATAAGATTATATCAAATAATTAATTGGAAAAACAACTCGAAAAACATTTGTCTTCAAGCTCTTTTAATACGAAATACTGAATAGTACACAAAGAGAATGGATAGCGGAGTCAACCAGCGAACAGAAAATTTGAAATAATAAAATGTTTGATCAATCAATCGTTAAAGTATTAAAATGCATTTTGAGTTTAGTACTTTTATATTAAAGAAGATATTCTCAATATCAGCATCGTGAAAGCAATAAAGAAAAAGTCTTTCTCGCCTTAACTGTTCCTCCAGGCGATACGCGAATGAATACTACGGACAACCCACTTCAAATATATGAGAATAATACATACATAAACTCGACAACATTAAGTTCAAAATAAGCGTAGACTTCTGAATGCTAAAGTTCTTTGCACGCTCCGGTAAACTTTACTACAATCTTGATAATATGATTAAACTTTAACTTGCTAATAATATATCAGAGAATAAAATATATCACAGGCATTTAACTGCTTTCACCAAAATTCCTCGCCTCCGTCAGCATAAGGTTTAATTAACTTTTGTAATTGATATTTAAATGTATTTATAGTGCTAATCTCTGCACTTGGCACAAAAAATTTAAATTTGCAGATAATTTTTTCCAAAAAGTTTTTTCTGCAAATGGAAATAATAAATATTCTAGTTAATGTCAACCTTTAAAGACATAAAGGAATAATGTAAAAGTCTAAAGTATTTTAGTATGCGAAATATGAAATTACTAGCAAAAAGGGCAGAGTTACTGGCATTAAGGTTTTACTTCCAGAGTTTATGTAACCAAACTCAAATGGATAAACATTATGTAATTTAATCAACTGAGAGTATGAGAATAGATATGGGAAAAGATTTATCTTTTCACATGTCTACTACTCTCACCATCATCACACTCTTAATTAACTGATTTTATTTTTTAAACTTCATCTTTATAACTTCAATTTTCATTGCAACATTACAACTCGACATCGGCGTTGAATGAAAACCTAATGAAGAGACTTATCTGTTAAGCTATTTTATTTATTTTTTTATTTTTATTTCACACAAAATCCACAGCTCTTTGTTACATCGTACGTACATCGTACGCACATCTTATGATCTAAAATTATAGCCGAAAACGGATTTACATTATTCAAGTAGTATTTTAAAGACTTTTAATACCCTTTATGCGCGGAGAGATTTAGACACCTTTAGAGAGACCATTTTTACATCAAAAACGTGAGATTTACGACAACTTGCGTCTTCTCATTAAAGGTGTCAGATTCGCGTAATTAAAATTCAGGGAATCTTCGCTACGGGCGAAGTTCGAGGGAAGTAATGAATTAGTGAATTACAGTAGACCGAACTGAATGTCGCCTAGCGTCACGTAACCACCCCAAATCCCTCCATTAGACGTTGTTTACTCAGTAGACGCGCAAATCTTGAGAGGTCGACTCACGAAAATGCCCAATGAATATGCGATGACACAAACCTTACAATGTTTTTCCATTTGGGCGACATAATGAAAACTCACGTTCGCGCCATGTTCATTTGCTAAGAGAAATATTTGCGTGCATCAATTTGTTTGCCTTCGAGAACGAAAAAAGTACAAAATAAGAGCAACGCGTCATATGTCGTAGGAGACGATCGTACATTGCCCTTACTTTAGGGTAACATTGTCCTGTGTTGTAAGGACGTTTTACAAACATAAATTTCACGTAGACAAACACCCAGATGCGAAACAACTATCTGTGGGTTACATAATTAGTTGTCCCGTGGGAATCGAACCCACGACCCCCGACGCCGAAGCAAATACCTTGGCAACTGCGCCACGGAGCCATAAACGATTTGTGCAAGTTTTCTCGCGATATTTTTCTTCGCCGCAGTGATAAGTTAACACTTTAAATTAAGAATTTAATTAGGCCGGCACCGGGAACGGAATTCAAGTTGCTCGAGTATATCCTTCTTAATATTATAAAGGCGAAAGTTTGTTTGTATGGATGGATGTTTGTTACTCTTTCACGCAAGTACTACAGAATGGATTCAAATGAAGCTTTGCAATAATATAGCTTACACATCAGAATAAGACATATATACAGGCCTTTTCATCTATGTCAGATGTTTTAAGCAGCGTCATGTTGACGACACCTGCGTTCATGGCTGTACAGGCCTATGCGAGAGAGTATCCCCCGACCGCACTTACGACAAGTGTATGCTCTCCCAGGTGGGCGAGGATGGGAAACCTGCTCATGGCGCTTCATGCATTTCTCTTTTAATACCTGGAACCAGGTGTCGTCGTGTTTGGACTGGCCCTCGTGGATAAGGCGACGCCACTCGAGACGATCCTCGGCCAGGTCCTGCCACTGGTCGCTAGGGATGTTAAAGGCAGCCATGTCACGCTTGGCGCAATCTTTATAGCGGAGTATTGGCCGCCCGACCGATCTTTTTGCGTTTGCGATCTCTCCTAGTAGGATTTGGCGTGGTAAACGAGACTGCTCCATTCGATACACATGCCCGAGCCACTTCAAACGCCTCTTTTTTAATATGGCTGCGATGCTATGGAGCTGTGCGATGCCTAGAATAGACTCGTTTGTCACATGATCCTTCCACGTGATGCCCATTATGCTCCGAAGACAGCGCATATGAAAATTATTCAGTCGCCGTTCTTGTTTTGCGTATGAAGTCCAGGATTCCGCTCCGTACAAGAGAGTGCTTAGGCCGCACGCTTGGTAAATAAGTATTTTTGTTTTTATCGTGAGGTGTTTATTGTCCCAAGCCCTTCTACGAAGCCTCCCGAACGTAGTGGCTGCTTTACCGATGCGAGAATCGAATTTCACGTCAAGCGAAAGATTACTCGATACGTGCGATCCGAGGTAGCGAAACTTACTGACCACCTCAAGGGGTGTGCCGTTTAGCAAGATCTCTGGCTGCTCAGAACACCCCTGCGCCAATATCACAGTTTTCTTGGCATTGATTGACATAGAAAATAGATCGCACGCTCTAGCGAATTTATCCACGAGGATTTGGAGCTCCGTCTGGCTGTGAGCAACGAAAGCAGCATCATCAGCAAAAAGAAGACTGTCTACGAACAAGTCTCTACAGTGTCGCTTGGACTTCAGCCTCCTTATGTTGTACATCTTACCGTCGGATCTTGTGTGTAGATGAACACCTCGTTGGTCGTCTCCAAATGCAACTTTCAAGAGCGCAGAAAAAAATATTCCGAAGAGGGTAGGTGCCAAAACACACCCCTGCCGAACGCCTCGCCTCGACGTATGTTAAAAGAAGCAGATGTCTCGCCATTATAAAGGATTGTCCCTTCCATACCCTCGTGAAATGACTGCACTATCTTCAGTAGTTTCGGGGGGCAACCAACGCTGACAAGCACTGAGTACAGCCCCTCTCTGCTCACCGTGTCAAAAGCCTTGCTTAAGTCTACAAAGGCGACGACCAGAGGAGTGTTCTGCTCTCTACACTTTTCCTGCACTTGTCGAAGAGAGAATATAATGTCGACAGTAGACCGTTGTGCCCGAAAGCCGCATTGTGCCTCTGGATATATGCGGTCGGAAAGCCTTTGCAGTTTAGCCAAAATGGCCGTAGCAAAAGCCTTGCCGACGATGCTAAGCAGAGATATTCCGCGGTAATTATTGCAATCACCGCGGTCGCCATTGCCTTTGTAGAGAGTGACGATGTTATCATCACGCATGTCTTGAGGCACGCAGCCCTCTTCCCAGCATTTGGTCAAGTTGTTGTAGAGGAGGGGTAGGACATACTTAAGTTTGACGATTTCCGTGTAAACTTCGTCTTTGCCCGGGCTTTTACCATCTTTAAGCTGCTTTACGGCCAGGTAGAGTTCCTCTATAGTAGGAGCAGTGTCTAAATCATGCCAAGTATCCAGATTCGGGATTAATCCCACCGTTTCAGGCTGGATGTCTACTGGACGTGAGTAGAGCCCCGTGTAATGCTCCACTCATCTTGTCATCCGGCGGCTGCTGTTTTTTATGACGGAGCCGTCGGATTCTTTTAGAGGTGCCGTCTTCTTTGAGGTAGGTCCAAGAGCTCTTTTAATGCCTTCATAAACTCCGCCGATGTTCCCCGCGTCCGCACATGCTTGGATGCGTTGACATAGCTCTGTCCAATATGCATTTGCGTAGAAGCGAGTGCTACGCTGAATTGAGGCTTTTGCCTTATTAAGCTCTTCCCGCGCAGCATCGCAAGGATTAAGGCGATAGTTTATAAAGGCTTGACGTTTTGAATCGATTAGGCGCAGTAAATGCTCCTCGTTTTCGTATATCCAGTTGTGAGATTTCACCCTTTGGTACCCGAACACTGTACCTGCAGTGTCTGTGAGGAGGGACTTAATTTTATCCCACTCGGCATGTGCTGACATAGAACTATCCCATGTTGCAATTTCATCACGAACTTTTGCCCCGAAGGACTCCACTGCTTCCAGATCACGGGTCTTAAAAAGATTAATCTTCTTTCGACCGAGTGGCTTAGATGAGTGAATTCTCTTGGGAACTAATCGGACTTTAGTAACAACTATGATCACTGTCGCAGTCAGCACTATGAAACGTCCGTGTATGGAGCGTTTCTCGCAGGTCCCTCTTTTTGGTAAGGACAAGATCTAACTGGTGCCAGTGCTTTGAGCGAGGGTGCATCCAAGAGACTTTTCGCATCAGTTTGCCTTTAAAGAACGTATTGGTGACACCCAACCGGTTTCTAGAGCAGAACTCCAACAATAGTTGTCCGTTGTTGTTTAGCTTACCTATGCCGTGCGCACCTAGGCAGTCAGGCCAGTTAGGTGAATTCTGACCGACACGAGCGTTAAAGTCACCCAAAATGTGTAGTCTGTCGGATAATCGCACATTACGAACCGTTTCTTCGAGCTGGTTGTAAAACTGGTCCTTGGTCTCGGATGTAGCGTTGAGTGTTGGTGCGTAAGCGGAGATAAAAGTAACATAGCCGCTTTTAGTATTAAGTCGCAAGATCATGCGTTCAGATATACCAATTGGTGGCTCTATCGCGTTGATTAAGTGATTACGCACCGCAAAGCCAACTCCGTGCTCTCTTTTTTCTGAGGAGCTCTTGCCTTTCCAGTAAAAAGTGTAGTTAGCTTCACGGATAGAGCCTTCATCCTCGATTCTGGTTTCCTGTAAAGCTGCAATATCGACATTCAGCCTTTTGAGCTCTGCGTCAATACTGAATGTTTTGCGCAGTTTTTGAGCGCATTCTGAACTTCCAGAGATGTTCGGGAAGCCTGTCCTCATTGTACGGACATTCCATGTCGCGTAGCGCATGTAAGAAGCATTATTGTTGGTTTTGGGAGTATTTGCGTTTTTTCGAGCAGGTGATTGATTTTACAGCGCCAACGTTGAGCTGCGAAGCCGTTGTCCCGTTCACCCAGACGGGACGAGTTAGCGCTGAGGCGGATCAGTACCTTATTGGTCGGGGAGTGCCCAACTTGTAGCAGGCGGTAACTGATCAGTAGATCTTCGATGGATCCTCCCACTGTCGAGAGTAGCCCCTGGCGCCCGCACGTATGACGCCTATTTGTGCGAGCTTATAACCGGTAACTTCCACTCCCCGTGTTGTTTCCCCCCTCAATAGCAGGTGGGCGAAGTATCCTCTCCGCGGATGCTGCTGCGCCTGGGACAGACGACTTTATGGCAACACGGGCTTGCCCAGAGCCCACACCACCCTCTCCTTCCTCCCCGACAGGACCCACAGGAATGACGAGTCATTACGTGTGGTGCCGGTTTGGTCTCAGGTGCCTGACTTGCGTCTTAACGGAGGCACCGTTTCCGGGTTTATTCTTAGTTTTCCTTCTTTTAGGAGTCTAGGTGTTATTATCTCGAAATAAGTCCTTTCAGGGTTTTTTATTTTCCCTCCCCTCGTCGGATTTAATCCCGTTTACCGCCACGGGAGATTAGGCGTGGCTGCTGCGGTGGATTTGCAGCGTCTTATAGCCACCAACGAGAGAATGTAGAGAGCAGCGATTTTAACAGAATTTTGCATCATAGAGATGGTTGGCAAAAAGCGACGCTGTATCTCTACTACGCCAAAGAAGAACCGAAAGTAAGGAGGGGTGAAGGATGCACAGCACCCACGAGGACGAGGTGGAGGATAGGGTATGGTTTAGGATACCAGTGCCACGGAGGAAAAAGGAATGTGGCACTAGTAGCTGGAGCAGTCCGGGGTCACGTACCCGTAGTGGCTTCTGCCAGGTATCGGACAGAGACCTGGTTAGTCCACCCTCTGAACTCATCAGAATAAGACATAGGCTATAATTTATACACACGTTTCATGTATATCTGACTTTCTGCCTGAATGTTACGCCTTCAGCCTATTCTACGCAGACGTAGTCGCGGGCAACAGCTAGTTTAATCCGGGTATATTATAGTCCGGGTAGTATTATAGTCCGGGCCCTCACTTATAGTGAGGGCCCGGACAGTGAGATGGCCATATTAACCTATTGATTTTTTATAGTGCTTATCTCAGCAATTAAGATGAAACATAAAAATTTGTACAAAAAATAGACCAAACTATATCTGAGTCAAATCCGACCATCATCCTCATCATCTTAAAATCAATTTAATCGAACCCACGTCTTCAGGAATAGCGCCCTGATGCGCGTGGGGAGATGTGGGTTCGATTCCCGCAGCGGTGAAAACTTTTTGTCTATTTTTCTACAATTTTACCGTGTTTACTAATATAAAGTGGTGAAATGGAGGTTGCTGGAGTATACTGAAGTACAAGCGAGCGCCCGCACAATCACGACTGGTGGGGTCGCAGGCTGGACTCTACGTACAGAGGTAGCCTTCGCCCAGCCGTGGGACATTGGCCGTTACTTCATTTTACTATTACAAATAAAATAATAATAATACTTCAATCGTATGTACATACATCGTGTTTTGTTCATCTTTACATGTACCTTCTTTTATTTTGCCGCTGATATCGCGATAAGTCAACATGTATGCTTCAAATTAGCAACTTTAACAAACACGAATTACTTTAAAACCGGCACAATGGCTACACCAGTGAGCTAGATTATCAACATTTTGTATGGTTTTTACTTTTTAAGCCACATATTTATACTTTCACGAACTCCACAAAATAATGAATAAAGTTATTGTACGGATTTTATCGCATATCATTTTAAATTTTAATTCCGGCTTTGAATGCTTTACAGCATCCACGATCCCAGCAATTGATGCGTTTGGCATTTTAATGCAAATCATGGGATACTGTTGCTAAAAAAGATTTTCTTAATTTAAAATAATATAAGCTATCTATATTGATAACATTGTAATAAAAAATTAAAGTGTATCATATATGTATATGTAGCTGTGATAGGTCCGGCCGGGGAAGTAACACAGACGATCAAGTGGAAGTGTGTAACACTTTTTTTTCGACGCCTCGTACCCTTAAGATTCGAGTGCCTTATATTGGCAATCCATAGTGGATCGTATAGCGATATCTATCGTGAACAATATAATTTAGTTGAATGGGATCCTTAGAAAATCTATATTTCATTTATCATAGATGGCGTTAGGTCACCTTGTTGTTTTGTCTTTGTTTATTTCCTTAGATTATTTCGGTACTAGTGATTTTATTGTCTTATATATAATATATAAGACAGTAAAATATAAATATAAAATACTATCATTTTAATTATGTTGAACTGATATCAATTTGTTTTTACATAATTTTCGATTAGAAACATTGTCTTGTTTAGCATAGTCTGTTGTTTGTATAATCTGTCGTTCCTGCGAGAACGGCAGTCAGCTTCGTCTTGATCATTTCTTATTGGAGCTCTGAGGCGGCCGCCGCCTGGCGGCAGCGCCTCTGCATAGTTCGAGAATGTAGGAAAGGAGTTTGTGGCATCCTAGGCCACATCCTTTTACATCCTACTTGTATATGGCTTCTTGGCCTTTATATTTTATATAAAAAACCCACATCGTTGGTAAGTTTCCTTTGTGCATATATTTTTGGGATCTGACTGTTTTCGGTCCATCATTCGTTTGTTAACAATTGGTATTTTGTTACAGGGTTTTTTTTTTATTGGTTTCTCTTCTTTAATGCTACCTCGTATCACTCTAATCTGCTTCTCTCTGATGGCTTGATATCGAACCGCGTGTTCGCCTTATATGCAACTGCATATATATTAAGAGTCTGAGGTCCTGCTGTCCACGTGCAACTTGAAGCCGCGGACTAGCTGAATGCCCCTCGGTGGCATGTGAGCATTGCTGAGCTGAGGTCTTCAGCCTTATTTGGAAAGTGGGAAGGCAAGCCTGGTTATGTTTCCTTCTGGTATGTGTTTGCTCTAATCTAACTAGCCATTAAACTCATGATTATATTTATATACTGCTTTGTGACAGTGATTAATTTAATGTATACTTAACTCTCAATGTAACTATTATTATGCCTGATTGGTGAGATCTCACTCCTTCTATATTTTTAACTTGATATAGTTTAGTTTTATATTCAAACCTTGTATCAATAAACTCTAAAACTTTTAAGGAATGTATCTTTTATTTCCACTAAGTAAATCCCTTAGAATAAGCATTATTCTGTCTTGCACGGGGCGGGCTGGCGCCTATTTAAAATAAATTCTGCCCGTCCCCGTGACTGGGTCACCGAGCCTCACCCTGTGGTCTCGATCGGTCCGATTGAGTCAGCCGGAGCGAACCCCTACACCGATCTCCCACTGGTGGAGTCGGGGAGGATGTTTCAAGTGTTACACGTCTGCGTTTCGTCTGGTGAACGAGGTAACCGAAGCCCACTTTATTATTAGGTGGCAACGCATCTGCAACCAACGGCTGTTGCAAATGCCCATGGGAGGTGGTTATCACTTAACATTAGGTGAACCGCCAGCTTGCTTGTCACTTTGTCACATAAAGAAATATGTTTATTTTCAGTCGTTACAATTTATTAAACAAGAAATATAAACAAAATTAAATACTAAATTTGGCCGCCGTTTGTACCAGTTAGTACAAAAAAAAAAATGTTATTTAATCATCCTAGTCTACGTGGCATGGTGCCAAGAACTTCTACCTGCATTTCCTCTCTGAATAGTTATGCTTAACCTTTGAGCGACTAGAACCAGACCTCTTGTCATCAACCGCAGCGACAAGTCTAGGACATAATCTTCGCAGAATATGATGTGCCCGGACCCCACGGACTTAAGAATTCAACAGGAAATGACACAAATTATATAAAAGGTAGTAGTATTTTGACAATCAATAAGTAAGTGTAATCCTTCTATAGTGAAAAAAGATATTTGAATTTAATTTTCAATTTGATTTTGAACAAATGATCTGAAAAAATACTCATATTTTCGCCCATATTATACACAATTTTATATTTGTTTACATAAATTAACTTTGTTAAAAATAAAATTTTATAACTTAGATATGAAATAAAACTGATTTATGCAAACCATCATATATACAGCGTTGGGGGAAAGTCATTTGTAAAAAACAGAATATAAAAGTTCTATTCGCAACTTCCCGTTTTATCTGCTAATTTTCAAAGCTGTTTTTGTCCGTAGAAACTTTTCTTGTCGCCGGCCCCTTAGTTCGTAAACAATAGGCACAAAGGGACGCTCAAGCGGAAGCTGAATCGTAAACGTTACTTAGTTAAAAAGATTTTGATTGTGTCAATAAAAGATTTAATTAAGGGCGCAGACAACTAATACACAGGCTAACTCGCCTTCATTGTCTATGCAGCGACTCATTTCGGGGTAAAGGAACACCATTCCTTCATATAAATAAGTAATGACGTAACGCAGCGGAGCAGCGAAATTAGATTGAAAAGAAAAAGCCTGAGGTTCGTGTTAAAAATTCATCTCTCATTGCGATCGTTCCTCACATCGGCCCTAGAGTGTAGGTGAAGTTTCGCAAAAATCTTGATACTTGATTGCAGTACCATATAAATAAACTTCAGTGCGGAATTATTAATGAGCGATTTATCATTTACGTTTCAAGCATACCTCTCTTGAGATATCTTTCATTTCACCCACTATATTTTTTATTGTGAACGGGCTAGCATGATTATAACTTACAGCTGACTGTTTATTGTTCAATCTTGCATGAAGACATTCGCATCAGTGACAGAATGGCGAACAATAATTGTTCCATTTGATTGTTCTAAACATTACAAGATACGAAGCAAACGATCTCCGAACGAATCATCCTATCATAGTAAATTGAGGAAGCACATACATCATAAAATTGGCTATAAAATCTGCTAAATACTGCATTTAACTCCGAGCCTAAACATACCAAAATAATTACTCGTATATACACAGCACTTTACACGAAGAAATAAATTTTTTTATGAAGCCAGTGTGATGTGTCGCCGCCATTTTGCAAATACCCCCAATTTCTTTGAATCGACCTTGAACTTAATCAAAGGCACCAGGTTTATGCTTCAGTGGTTCTGCTCTAAATCAAAAGTAAACGGGGTCTTTCTAATTCAGGCACATTTCTACAATATGACCATATGATATTGTTATTTATTAGATGTAATATTGCACGATGAGTCAGGCAGCTTAGTCGCATTGACTAACGATCTTCGGTCACAGATGTGATCTCCATAACGGTTACGGCATGATACCTCTGGCTTGAATCTTGTATCTTATTTTTAAAAAATTGAATAAATAAACTTAAGTGAAAAGTCAGTTGGTGACACTTAATGATCCAGTTTGAAAGATTAAGGATATTAGATAATGTTTAAAAAGCCAAGAAATAAAATTAGTAAGCATGTTAATAACATTGTGAAATTATTAAAAACCGAATTGAATGTCATCACGACTCTTTCAACGGCAAAAATGTAACAGTCCAATGACTATTAAAATGTTTACAGCAGCGTGGCCGCCCACAATACGCCAATATTTATTCAACTCCGCGCTATAATACATAACCGATTTTAATAATTATACCAAATAGAATACGTTGTACACTATAAGCAATACAAACTCCTACTGCCTCGATAACTTTGCGTCGACAACTTTAAACTGTCCAGTCTAATAAATAACGAAACGTTCAAAAGTTACGTTTTAAGAACGGGGCAGAGGGAAAAAATCGGACGTGTTTTGTGTGTACGCCACTGTAAATAAAGTAGTGGCCGCGCTGTCAAAGAGTTACGCGTTTCACATTTTAACCGTCACCGGCAGCTAGTGGTGCGGATGAGGCGCGATTTCTGTTCGCCGTTTTTCCGGCTAACGAACCGTACGGTAGCGATCCAACGGGAAATAAGTCACCA